CCTAAGTTTTGGGATGGCAAAACAGCCCCAAGGCTTGCTTCGCCATCGAGGACTTGTTTCACCAATTTTCTAGCAACCCTTTACGGACTGCGAACCTTTGCTACACCTGCTCCCGACTTTCTTATACGGCCAGTGCCAAGAACACTCCTAAACCAATCTCAATCACTTCCAAAATATGTTTAGAGTAACCTACCTGACTTCTTCCATCAGTAATGACAATAGCGACACGTGCGACTTGCTGCGACAGCGGTCGAGCGCCACGTCGTTCACTGAAAGCCTCCGTCGCGACGTGTTCAATGGCGGCACCAGTACGTGTAAGGCCAGTCAGGTATCTGAAACAGGTAGGTTAGAACGTGGAAATGATCATGTTGATCATCCTCACAAGCAAGTTATTTTCAGAGCAGATGTTTACTAGAAATTGTAAATTTGAAACGTTTGGCTGATCTTTCGGAAATCGGAAAGCATGGCTGTGACTCTATGCAATGCGGAAATCGAAACACAGGGACGCGGGGAGACGAAGTTTTGACTCTCTTCACACAGGAGTGCTTCAGGTGGGCTGCACTATGCCTTGTTGCTATAGAACTTTCCAGATGTTGCTCATAGTGAGCAGAATCTGATCCGAGATCTGATCTGATCGAATCAGTTAAAAATGACCTGTAGGGATGGGGAGGGGAGTTGGAGGGGTTCTGCTCCTTTTCTATTGTGACTATTATCATGAACAAGGCTAGACTTCAGTCTTCTCCAGCTCTATAACTACCTCTCGAGGGGTCTGTAAAAGAGCTTGATAGAAATAGCTGAAATAATCGATATATCGATTACCAGAAGAGTGCGGTAGATTTCGGGGCTTTGATCCTGGAAGAGTATCCAGAACGGCCAAACCAAGGAGAATTTATAAAGTGTAAGATCAGTACTGAGCATTTACAGGGAAACTATTAGAAAAAGCTACTTAAAAATATTTTTATACGTTTACAGGTCAATATATTACGCGTGTGCTCCCAAATAGAATTGATTTCACGCGCGCGTAATCGGTAATGGTCG